TTATTATTATTTTTTTTTTTGTAAAAGACACTAGATTTTGAGTATTACTAAGCAGGTCTAGTTTAGTAATGCATGTGTGGTAATTTCTTTATAGATAATCACATTTTGAAGAAAGCAAAGAAGAATGATCTATTTGGGAATGCTTGACTAGAACATAAAACGTTGTTATGTCAATCTACTTACTCTACAATATCATATATATGGTATTCATATAGCATTTTATACAACATTATATATATTTCTCATACATACACTATATACATACAAGAGTACATTGTACGATACACACATGCATACATCCTACCCATACATAAGCATGCGTTTTGGGCTGCATTAGCACTATAGTGATTGAATTTCTGAATAACTTTTGTTCCAGTTTCTGGCCAAGCCCATTGAATAAGGTGAAATTTGAGCAAAATGGGTTTCTTAAAATGTCAAAATTGCAGTAGTATGCGTGACAGAGTCCATTATATATATTTGCTATATATTTATACCCTGAACCCATTTTCAATGGGAAATCAGGGTATAATGTTTTTTTTTTTTTTTTTTTTTTTTTTTTGATTAGGATAGCGAGCTGAGTCAATAAATTTCATAGTATTAGTGCATTTAAAGAAAAGTAATGAATGAAGCTCAGAGTTTCATCTCGACTAGACTTTTCTTACTTGTTATTTATCTATTAGCAGCACAAAATCTCTAGTCGATTCTCTATTTTTCAATAAGAGCAGGGGATAAAAAACATTTACTCAAGGACTTTTCACAAATCGTTTTTGCCAATATCTTAAATACCACCTGCCTAGGAATATCTATATATTTATACATGTATGAGCATATATCGATGTATGTGTTTACAATACCTATAAAATTGTATTCGCTTTGTTTGTTTACAATTCGTTGCTTTATAAATATAATTTGATGGCGCTTTAGCTGTGCTTTGCTTGTATTCAAATATTTCATAAATATCTTTCGAATGTTGTTCTGTGTTTTTTGTTTATTTCGTTTTCATAATTTGCTCACATCGGAATTCGTTTATTTTATATGCTTTATTTACTTTTTCGGGTTTCTTCAGCTTCTTCTTCTTCTTTTGTTTAATAATATTTATTGGACTGCATTGATTTACAACTTGAAAAGTTTCCTCGACTCAATTAAGGCGCACTTTTTTTTTGCGCTGCTTATCGATAAATGTAATTAGCTTCCGATTGATTTATTTTTGAATGTCGATTATTTGTTTATTTGCTGAAAACTTTCCTTTATTTGCATTTCGGGTTCGCTAAATATTTTCATTACTGTTGGACTTTTTACGAGGCGCTCGAGATTATTGAGGCGAATTCCTTATATATTTTTATACAAATTTTTTATTTGAATTTGTTGTTGTTTTCGCGCTGTTTTTCACGCTCTAAAAACGCGCTTCGCCAGTTCCGATAAACAAAAACAAAAAATACAACAAGTCGTACTTCAATTACAACACATTAACGAAAAGAGAGAGAGAGAGAGAGAGCGATGGCGAGAGAGAGAGGGCAACATGTGTGCCATGCGTCGAGTGTGAGAGAGAGGGCGAGCGCTGGGCCGCGTGATAGCTTATTGTATTTAAATATATGTATATATAGATGTAGATATATGTATGCATATATTTATTTATGGCAATTCGATATGTGTATTTGCACGGATAATCGCAGATTTCGTGTGTTAATGTCGCGGCTTGAAGTTTAAAACTGGGCACAAAAATTGAAAACGAAAAAAATACTCAGATTCAGATATTTCGCATTGTTTAGTGCGCTGTGCGAGAGCCGCTGCGATTGCCTTTTGTTGCTGTTGCTGTAGTTGTTGTTGTTATTGTTGTTGTATTATGTTTACTCGTATTATAATTTGTTGCTGCTACGCCTGCTGCTGCGGCTGCTGCTACGGCTGATGCTGCGGCTGCTACGGCTGCTGTACAGCTAGGTGCAGCAGCGCTGCTGCTGTTCCGTCTGCCTCCGATCTGCCGCCGATTCGCCAGATTGGAGCGCTCAATGAGCTTGAGTGTCATCCACTTAGGAAGCGCCAACCGCTGAACTCGCCACAGCCCCAACAACAACAACAACAACAATAGCAATAGCAATAGCAATAGCAACAATGAAGGCGGGGTTAGCTGTGCAGGCGCAGGCATAGACGCAGGTCGACGCTGACGTCGCTGCCGATGCTGCCGCCGTCATCGTTGGCGTCGCAGTCGCCGTCGCTGGCTAAAATGATTATAATACAATGGACGATAATGCGAGCGATCATGTAAATTAGATTTGTCTCAGTTGTTGTCATCGTCGTCGTCGTTGCCCGGCCCAGCCCAGCCTGGCCCGTATATCTGAGAGCCGAGCTACGTCGATGCGAGCAGATCCGATCCGATCCGCAGCTCAAGAGGCCAGCAACAAAAACAAAAGCAACAGCAACAGCAACAGCAACAGCAACAGCAACAGCAATAGCAATAGCAACAAGAACAGACGCCTCAAATCTTATCATTTATTTTTGTGTTATATGCCACAATATTTATTGCATTATTTCGTTCAAGTGTTGTTGCTGCTGCTCGAATTATTTGATATTTTAATAAAGTCAAAGCAGCGAAATTAAATCAAGTATGCGCACTGACTAACTAAGTACTACTACATGAAGTAGCATTTAGGATTTCAACATTCATACATACATATGTGTTTATGTATATCTAGGCACACACATGAGCTACAAGAAATGCACATGCTGAACTTATAGATATAAATATATTTATATTGTATATACAGACATACAAACATATGTATATGGGTATGATTTGATTTGATTTGATATATTCGAACAGCAGCCTCTAGTGAGGGGTGGGGTGGGGGTGTAGGTGGAGGTGAAAGCGAATACATGAAAAGAAGTAAAATCAACAAAACGCTGCGGCAGCAAATTGAATTAATTCAATTAATTTGCATTGTAAGTACATATGAAAATGGCAGAATTGTAATAAAGAAATTGTGGGGAAGCAACTAACTAAACGAGTGTAGCTTAAATGAATAACGTTTTATGGTTGTGCCAAGTACCACTCATAAGCAATTTGCGCAAGTTTTTGTATATGCGCACAATGTGCTCGCTGCGGAAGGAAATGATAACAAAATGTTGCGACTGCTGCACGAATTGCCTTCAATTTAGCTGTTTGAATTTTCAATTAAATTACAAAAAATGCGCGCCTTTCTTCAATATTATAGCACGCGGCGCAAAGCTCGTTGCTATGTGACTCCGATGCAACACTGTGTCCGATAACTGCTTACGATAGCCGCTCACATACACGCGCACTGTGCAACACTGTGTTGTGCTTCTCGATACCGATTTGTTGTCATATCAAGCATGGCCACCAACTCGCTGTCAAAGGTTCTTTTCCGGTTTCGTACACGACGAAGGAGGTACGCTGAATTGGCAAAGCCGCAAATAAATTTTTATACATCGTAGTAATAAAATAAGTATATATCAACAAATCGCGAAAAATAATAACAATTATTATGTGTTGAATGCCTTGTGCACAAAATTGCTATACAAATGCAAATACAAACTGTTGCCAGTTGACCACGAAAGTTGTGTTTTTTTTTTTCTGTGTACATACAAACACTTTTTTTTCGTGTTCCTTGAAGTGACTAAAACATTGGTATTTACTATATATTTTGTAGATATTAAATAATGGGCCGTTACTCACGTGAGCCAGATAACGCCACCAAGTCGTGCAAGGCGCGCGGACCGAATCTACGTGTTCACTTTAAGGTAAGTAAGGCGATTCCTCTCCAAGATGCAGACGGGCGCCAAACAGTTGTTGATAGTGTCGGCAAAAGCATGGTTGTGTGTGTGTGCGTGTGCAACATTAATCAGTGATTCTTCTGCTATAATTGCAGGTTTTCGCTTTTGCATTGTTGCTAGAATATCATCTATAGGGACAAGCTATCAGCAGAATGCGATAATAATCTAAATCGCGTTCTTCTAAAGCCTTGTCTACAGCCTCAGTATAACCAAGTGCGGGCGCACTCATTAAATGCACTGCACGCATCTCATCTGCGTGTATCCAGCTCAAGTGTGCCCCACAGTAAACTCCAGTCATGTTAAAACAGCGGCGATCTGCGCTCGATGCGTTCGTCTCTACCTGTAGCGTGATACAGCGCCTAATCCTTAGTTTAATGTCTTGAATAGGAATTGTAATTACGGCGCATTCCTTTATAAAGTAATCGCTTATAATTCTGGCGATTATTTGTTTCTCGAATGCGTCCAAAGTAAATCTCAGTCATGTTAAAACAGCGGCGAGCAGCGCTTAATGCACTCGTCTCTACCTGTAGCGTGATACAAAGCCAACTGTAGTACACATATAAATGCCACGCCCACAGCAACGTTGTCCCCTTCATGTACATATATCGGAATCTAATGTGCCTTTTCTCTTCACAGAACACCCACGAGACCGCGCAGGCCATCAAGCGCATGTCCCTGCGTCGTGCCCAGCGTTTCCTCAAGGCCGTCATCGATCAGAAGGAATGCGTTCCTTTCCGCCGATTCAACGGTGGCGTCGGCCGTTGCGCCCAGGCCAAGCAGTGGAAGACCACACAGGGTCGCTGGCCCAAGAAGTCCGCCGAGTTTCTCCTGCAGTTGCTGCGCAATGCCGAGGCGAACGCTGACTACAAGGGACTGGATGCCGATCGTCTGGTTGTCGATCACATTCAGGTGAACCGCGCCCAGTGCCTGCGTCGTCGCACGTACCGTGCTCATGGTCGCATCAATCCCTACATGTCATCCCCATGCCACGTTGAGGTTATCCTCTCCGAGAAGGAGGAGATCGTCGCCAAGGCGACCGACGATGAGCCTGCAAAGAAGAAGCTCTCCAAGAAGAAGCTGCAGCGTCAGAAGGAGAAGATGTTGCGTTCTGAATAAAATGTGTTCTGGAACGGGTGCAGCGGCGGTGGGCATCACTAGCCGTCAGTCGCCCAGGCCGGTGTTAAACAACTAAAAACATAAAAACCAAACCCGTAATTTTTTTCCATCAATACAAACATTAATTTACAAGTTGCAAAGTGTTTGTGTGCGTACATTTAAGAGAGAAAAGTTGAGGTACTGTTGAAGAACCAATACATACAAAACTGATTCTTCGATGAATCCAATGGGATTTTTTTTTCTTTTTTTATTAGAAAAAACAAGGGCGTCCGCAGTAGCACGCAATAAAGAATTTTTTACTTGTATTTGATTCGGGATTTCCATGGAATGAAAAGATATAAGAATTATCTATTGGAATTGATGAGACAATATAATTAGTGCGAATAAGTATGGCACTTGGGGCGGGGAAGAGGAGGTTGTTTTCAGCGGCTTTCCTGTATGGCAAGCGGCATTTGCCAACCTGTTGAAGCCCCAACAAGCTTATCAGAATTTGAAGTTCATTTATGTTGAGCTCTCAGACCTTTGTTATGGAGGCATTAGTTTATATTGACATTTTTTGCATGTTGCCCAATTGGGCAATTGTATTTGCCGCAAAATTGCACGCGTTTTAATTTGTGGCAATAATCAGCTGTTAATATATGGCGAACAGCTGTTTGACTGCGAGACATACATAACAAAGGGCATTGTACAACACTGAGCCACTGCTTCAATTTCGTTGGGACAACAAACGCCAAGACAATGTTTATTTTGGTGTAAGAAAGAGAGAGCACGACAGTAAACATGAGTTGAAAAGAGACAGAAGCTCAAAATAACAGATTCATTTAAAGTATAACTGGAGGCATTTTACTGGTATAATTACTTTTATAAATTAAAAAACAAGTGATTATTGAATTCTATTCACGTAGTTTAATTTGGCAAGCTGACAACTCGAAACAGCTGTTGATATCCGGCAAGTAGTTCGTCCATACAGCGTTGTCTAGCACTGTTCCCTTACAAGCATTTGCCGCACACCAAACAAAAAATGTTTGATTTTGTGCGACAGAGAAGGTTGGTAAGCATCACTTAAAAAGAGATAGCACATGTATGAGTATTTTAAATGAAATATTGGCTATTTCATTGAATCTCGTATAAAGATTCTTTATTAAAGAAGATATATTTCTATTGCTAATTGCTCATATTTGAAATCGGGCAATCATTTGTTAGCCTCACTGAGCGGTCTTTGGAGTAGCTTGTCGCTGTTGGCGGCACTAAACATCGGCTGGCGACGGACGATCTTCGGATTGGGATGTTGGGTAATTGCTATGTGCTTCTGGAGCTGCTGCTTGCGCATAAAGTCCTCGTCGCAGACAACGCAGGCATAGGGCTTCCGAATGCTGTGCACGAAGTGATGAACGTTGCGATTTTCGGGTCGACTGAACTGCTTGCCACAGATCTCGCAGCTGTAGTTCTTTTTACCGGTGTGGCAGAGCATATGCTTCATCATATTTATCGGGCTGGCGAACGTTGCCTCACAGAACTCGCATTTCACATCTCGCACCTGAGTGTGCTTCGACTTGATGTGGTTAGCCAGCAGACGCCTGCGTTTAAAGCTGCGCTCGCACTGGTTGCACTTAAAGCTCGTCTTATTTTCGTGGGTGGCCAACAGGTGACTGCGCAAGTTGGCGCGTTGCGCAAAGGTTGCATGACACTGGTCACACTTGTAGGGCCGCTCGCCCGTGTGCACACGCTCGTGATCCTCCAGCCATTGGCGCCGACCGAATGTCTTCCCACAATACCCGCAGCGGTTCTTGGCTTGTGCCTTCGATTGTTTGCCAGCTGCTATAGAGGAACAGAAAAAAACTTGAAATTATCTAAAATTATTCTGGTGATAGATAATTTGAGAACGAACCTCCTTGCTTCACTTTGAAATTATCTTCCGGCTCCTCTTCCTCGTCGCTATCGCACTCGTCATAGTCTATATTGTTGATCTCCGTGTTCGTGTTCGTGTCCGTGTCCGTGTCCATCTCATTAATTAGTTCTATATCATCTGGGCATCGCTCCAGTATGTTTAAATGTTCGACATTGGTTATTGTGTGCTCCTCGACAAAATCCGACTCGAGCAAACTGTTGTCCTCGCTTAGAAGCTCGTTTTCATCCTCCTCCTCTTCCTCTTCCTCCTCTTCTTCTTCCACCTCTTCCTCCTCTTCCTCTTTCATAATTAGTCTTCCATTTAGCTCAAGTGTTAACATATGTTTTTCTTGTATTTCCAGCCGTGCCGCAGTCACTTGATTCTCTAATGCCTCGAAGTTGAGCAGGCTCACCTTGCAGGTGCTGCACACAAACTGCGAAATATGAGAGTATATTAGTTCATCGATATTAAGGAACACTCTTCCTCTCTTATGCTCACCGTGGAGTGAAGCTGCTCTTTCTGCAGTTCATAGCCCAGGACTATTGCCAAAATGTTGGCCAGACTCTTCAGCTCAATGCCGTCCGCGTCGTAGCGCTGGTCGAACATGTGCTCGTATACCTTATTGTCCTCAAATGTGCAGTTGCACAGGTAACAACGTAGTATGCTCTCCGCTCTAACCATTTTTTATTTTTCGTACAACTGTCTCTGCCAATTTTCAACATTTGAGCTGCTGAAATATGCATATGTCAAAAGTAATATATCGATAGACGATAACGAACCGAAATAATTCTATTGCGGGACGTTCAAAAACTACAGCTTAAAGTGAACAAAAAATAAATAATATAAATAAACAAGTAATATCAACCAAATTATTCGTCGTTTAATTTATATTTAAAAAATAAAATAAAAATAAATATATAACTTAAGCTAACTGTAAGAAAGTGCAAATAATTAATACCAACAGAGATTCCCTTTATACACTTCATTGCGATTGTTTTAAAGTAGAAGCCGTAGCTTTATCAATTCGGTAGTCCGGTTTACGCAATAGTTTTTAAATTAATATTAAGGAATTATTAAACATTAATAAGTAATTAATTTTGCTGGCTCTGCATTAAATACCAAATTTTGAACAAACTTATCGGGGCTGGTCACACTGGCAGCAGTCATATTCAATTTCGATAACAGTGAACGATAAGCCAAATAGAATCTAACATTGCCAATTCGATTGTGGAGTTCTGCGGTGCCGGAATAAATAAATGTTCGTTGCTCGCTGGCGCATACCAATTAGTTACAAATAAAAATAAATAACATTCAAGTGCTTGCGATCGTGTGTATTGGTGCGTGCTACTTGTTGTCGCATACACAAATATGAGCGGCATTTGTTCAATATTTTGTTCTTCTGTCCATTGTTTTTCTTTTATTTTTTTGTAGTGCAATTGTGGGTGAAATTGAAACTGAAATTTGTGAAGTGGTTTGCGCGCGTTTCTTTTAACTTACATATATATA